TGACATCTTGGACGCATACAGAAAACAGCCTTTGCTTCTGGGTGCCCTTTAGTCCAAAGAATAAAAGTAAAATGGCTGCAAGGACGCTGCAAGGGAGGTTGTGCCTTCAGAAGCAAATGTATGTGACATGCAGTGTAAAACATGCTGCACAATATAGAGGATACTTAGGCAGTTTTAGGCTCATGCTATTCTGAATTTAAAGTTTATCAGCAAGACAGCAACAATGTAAGCTTAACAAGACTGAATTTCAGCCATCTTGTTTCAATTCTTAGTCAAAGCTCACAAAGCACTTTATAAAGGCAGAGGATTATTCTTAGTTTACAAACGGGGAAACTGAGGCACAGTGCTGCAAAATGGTCTCCCCACAGTCAGTGGCCTGACTCCCAGGCTATTTACCTGTCTGGTTCTGTTATTGCTTCATCAGACACTGCCCTCATGGCGCGGCAAAGTCCCCTTCCCTACCCCCTTGCATGCTGTCTCCGCAACTTGATCTTTCACCCCAGGAGTGCAGAGCTTAGCGTACAGCCCCAAATCATCACAGAAACCCAAACAGGCATTTCACTGATGCAAAAGACCTTTCAAAAAGAGACAGAACAGAAATAGAAGCATGAGCTTCATCAAAGAAGTAACTATTCCACCAAAGCAAAGCAGCAGCTGAGTAAAGAATAAAAGGAAGAACAGATTAAAGCAGATACTTGAATCCTGAAGAAAGGAGAGCTCTGCATAGCAAATGATTTTCAGGGGCATGGAAAAAAGGCAAGGAAAGAATTATCTAGCGATATCTTGCTAAAGTTGTGGGTAAATTAATATTAACATAGGAATAAGAAAGTATGGATAGAAAAAGCCATCGAGAGTTGGTAGAGAAACAGCTAGGTACTGTATGTAAATTCAGAGAGCATCTAAGTGGCCAATTTTTTTTTTTCCGTGAAAGGTGAACAGCGCAATACATTATCCATCACAAAGCATGGAAATCACAGCAGCATTGATTGGAGCAGTGCTTCAGGAAATTATTGAACAATCAAGAAACAACCTCTGATCGCGGCATTCCAGGAGAGGAGTAAATTTGGAGAATTGCACACAGAGCTTAGACCAACATGGGCTGCAAGTGTTTGAACAGTAATCCATTGCTTAACAAATGGGAAAGCAGCAGGCAGCAATTGCTGCTCAGCAGAACTGTTCAGAGCAGGAAACCATCTCTGCCCAATAGTTGCACACAAAATCAGGCTTTGAAAGCATTGGTACTGAGACCCAAACTGAGGAGACTAAAATCACTGAAGCGTGAAATCCTGTTGGAATTACTCAACACTGGCACTGTAGACCAGCCCCAGCAACTGGGTGTGCATCCTCAGATACATATTTTACTAGCTTTTAAGCAGTAAACATTCACTCGGCGCAGAAAGCATCATTGTGTAAGCAGCATGTTTTGTTGGATTCTGTTTTGTTGCTGTTCAAACTTACAATCAATCTTCAGTGATTTACTGAGGAGGATTGGGCACACCAGAAATCATTTAATTTCATCATCTCTGCCAAAAGAATTCAATAGTTTACACTACCCATCATTGTGAAATATGCTCTTTGAGTCTGGATTTTCCCCTCCAGGTAATCATAAAAGGATGCCTGACCTGTATCTGGGCAGAAAACATACAGAGATGAGTGGAGCGGCCCCAGTTTGCACCAGCAGAAGCAGTCTAAAGAATGAAAAAGCATTATTCTGATGTCTTTTCTGATAACTGTCTTAAGTATTTCCCATCTCTGCCCTCCTTGATAACACTGAGTACTATTGTTGCAGTATGTGGAAGCTTTGATGTTTCTGAAAATTAGCGGTGCTTTAGGATATGTTTTCTCTAGGTAACATCCCAACCGGCAAGTATTAATTAACTGGCACATCTAGAAGTGCAGGAAAACGGTAAGTTCTTGGAGATGGAGAGGAAAGTGAAGGAAGGGTTAACCAGTCTTTTTTTTTGCCAGCAAGTATACATACTCTGTTCACCATCCGCCCCCATAAAGTATGAAATGTAGCAGATGTTTTGAGAACAGCTAGCCTGATCTATCAGCCTCTATATAAATGAAGGTTGAGTTAGTGAAGAAGGCGGCAGAATAATGTTTGCAAGAGAAGAGCAAGAAGATTTCCGACACCTGGGCAACTTAATGATGGCAGATGGCAAAAGCTGAAGGCAAAGAGAAGGAGCAGTGCGCACCAGCAGCTGTTGAACAAATGGGGAGTAGAAAGGCCTCTGCTGAAACTGCGCAGGAAGAATTTAATACCCACAGTTCCGTAAGAAATATAGTGTGAATATGCAAAGAGAAGCCTGTGTTTTAACTCCTCAGACAACTGTCGTCAAAAGTACCCAATGGATTGTCAACCAAGGAGATTTTCACAGCAAGAAGCCATCTATTTGCATCAAATACTGTCAGCCTGCAAAGCAGCAACTTCTGGGTCATTTAACAACACTCCAGATGTAGTTATTTTCTCCTAGGCAAGTGGCTCAAAAAGAGCTATGCAAGAAAAAGACAGAGTTGGCATATAAAGGGCGACAATCAAGCAGCATGTGGAAGTGATTAGCTAGTCGGTGTAATATAACTCAGTTAAATGAACAGATTTCCAAGACACTTGGGTGTCCTGTGATTCTCAGCATGAAAGAGACTGCAAGACTATGGCCAAACACAGGGTTGCATTTCACCATCAGTAAACAAGTGATTTCTGACTTTATGCTAAAGATAATAGTTTATGACTAGTCACCTAGGACAGACTGCCTGTGGCAGCATGTCAGCTATCGCACTCCAAAGTCATAGAAGATAGAGGTGCTGCCTGTTTTACTTCAGGAAAAACAAGGGAGACCAACCAGACTTGTAAATGTGGGGAGTGATGTCAAGTGGCTTTCTTGATAATTCTTGCATTTAAGACAGAGGTGGGATTAATGCACTTAGCACAGATCACCATTAGGAATTTATCTTCCCCCACGCTGAACTCACCATTTCTAGGGAATAGCTGCCATCTTCAAAATGCAGTTCTGAGTTCAGGCTCCACAAAACCCAAGAGTATCTGGATGTGTATGACAGAATTTGGCTATTTTTTAAGGATCCTTCTCCTTGCTAAGACTAATTTTCATTTACACTGCAATTATGCATACTTAATACAACCCGCCGCCTGCTGTGCACATCACATCTGTAGCTCTGCCAGGATAACACTGCATTGACCACTGACACTCTACAGAGGAACTCAACATGGAAGAACCATTGACGGATCATTCTTGCAACTACTTTAATACATGATTCACACCAAGTATCTATGGATTAGTGAGACTCCCTGCTGCTGTTTGAAAAGGACTCAGCAAGTAGGTAGAAAGAATGCTGTCTGATAGGTATACAACTTCAAAACAAATTCACAATGTCCCTAGAGAATTTGTCCCCATAGGGAAAGAAAAGGTTATTGTATGTTCAACCTGCAGCTTTAATTATATTGTGTACTTTCCTGTGCAATTAGAAATGTGTATTTGTAACAGATAGTTACACTTTCTAGTTATGTATCTATCAAATTCTCGTTATAATTAGGATGACTCATAATGAAATTATGCATTAGTTGCTCCATTCATTATATTGTTTGACTTACAGTCAGCATGCAAACTACAAATCTTCTGAATTTTTCCTCTCATTCAATCCCAGGCCATTTCCTAAGCAAATACAGAGATGTTTTCAACTGTTGCAACTCCTTTGCAAGCAATGGGTCTTCTCAGAGGGTCTACTGCTGCAGAACTGAGCAGCAATCTCATCTCCTGCAGAGGTCAGTAGGATTTTGCTGATGGAGGGCAAAGTGAAAGAACATGTAAGCCCTGTTTCCCAGGGCAATCCTACTTTGCAATATTCATACAGTCCAGGAAGACAGAAAATTTCCATACCACGTCAGATCAGTGCTCCATTGCTCTCTATATCTTGTTTCCAGCAAGAAACAGATTGGTGCATCAGAAAAATGCAACAACAGTAGAGCTATGGCAAGGGTAGGGAGTAGACAAGTCCCATCACTGATGGCAGCTGCTGTTGTTGCTCAGTGATTAGAAAAATCCTGAGAAAAGGGGGAGAATCTCAAAATATCTCCCTAAAACTGAACCATTTTGAGCTAATCAGGCCCTAGATCTTTCTGATCATCCTCCATTGGCCCACACCTTACACCATGAACAGTTTACCCCCCTTTCAATTACTACCCAATGTAAACATGTCTCCTTGTCCATTCCATTACACAGCTCACAGATAGTTATCACCTGTTGACCACCAAGTCTGAGTGACTTTAATTTACTGCAAAGGATTGGAGCCTCACTGTGGCAGGGAGGTCCAAAAGTAATTTATTCATTGCATAAGGGAGGGTGGAGCTGGGATAGTAATCCATTTTTTATGAGCCACCTTGTATCCAGCATACATAATTGGTGAACTGTGGACATGGGTGGCAATGATGACCTGCTCTAACCTGACATTGAACACTGTTGTGTCCTGTTCAGTACTGAAATCTCTCAAAAGATCATCAACAAAGTCAACACCCCTAGACCAGTGTATCTCCAATAAGAATCTAATGTCTCTTGAACTGCTGTGTCATCCCACTTACAAATCAATTGCACAGTAAGCCCCTTAGTGAGACAGAAGTTTCTTGTTCAGGACAAGAACTTTTCTCCCCTTTATTTTTCTGCCTTAAGGTAAATATGTAGTGCTTATGACAAATGCTAGAAGTGGCAGTGAAAAAATTCTTTAAATTATTCACAAAGCAGATATCGTTCTAGCAGCTGTGCCAGCAGTTGGCATGTAGTGGTCCACCCTGAGATTCATGCCTACAAAATTCAAAGTCCGCTTTGCTCCAGCCAATATTGGGAGAATCTTAAGGTGCTAATAATCCCTCACTGTAAACTGAGAAACAAAACTGGAGCCCTGAGACCTCCCCTCCAACAGACTGACTGTGTAAGGTGGAGGGGAAGAAAAGGGGAAGGGGAGTAGGATATCAAAGACTAACAACAACTACAGGCATAGGGAAGCACAGAGTGCGAAGGTACCCCTGTTAGGAACAGTGTTGATTTGGGGGTACATGTCATGCCTGTGGTAGCCCCAGATGTCGCCGTCAGCACCTATGGCTTGCTTGCACCAGCAACAAACTTGCTTTCACTCAGTAGTTTCCATGAAGACACCAATTCAGAGGAGAGACCCGTAGCGTACACCGAGCACACACACTGACCTGCTGTTTGGTAAAGCGCCTGGCAGTGTGGGCACCTGGTGTGGCAGAATATGGAAAACAATGAGGGGTTTAAATTGGCCATTTTCCTCCTAGGAACAAGGCAGAATTTACCAGCTGGTTCAGCACAAACCAGCAGCCTCCTCTCCTGCAAGGGCAACTTTCAAATAGCCTGTAACAGCCACCAGCGCAAAGGACCAACACGAACCCGAACCAGAGTTTCTCAGAGGAGAAGGCTTACACCTTAACCAGTCCTCAAGTCCCAATCATTCAAAAACCTAATTTATATTTGCCATTAGTGCTCTCTTAACCTCTTCATTCCCATGGTGTGAGGCAGCCACAACTGAGTTTTCATTGGAATCTGCTTTCCTCCTCAATCTAACTTCCATTAATTTCTGAGATGCCCCCATGCGTGGTGTTTTCATTTTAAGCCAGGGGCTATGAACTGAGCAGTACCAAGAAGTCAGGCAGGTGCTGAACAAGCAGCAAAAGTGCTAATTCCCCACTTCATCTCTCCCAGCCTGCCTTGGCACCAGGTTGCCTCTCCAGTCCTTCAGCCTGTGTGCCATTGCTGCTGGCAGACGCATCTGTACTGATGGCTTTTACATTTGTCCACTAGGGACCACACTGAGACCAGCAACCCTGAACTGACAGCAGATGTTAACAAGCTTTGATCCATCTTGACCTGGGCTGTTTTTTAACCAACAACCAAGAAGAAAAAAGGCTCCAAGATCTCAGCAGAGCACTAACATCTCTGACCTGGGATCTGGAGATATGCACGGTTTTACTGGAAAGCAATGGTCTCCAGTAGCATCCTCTCACCACCTCTCTTCCCCACATCGCAGGCACTGTAAATGCTGTACAATGTTCACATTTCTACTTCTCAGCATTATCGCAGGTCTTGCACACTTGCAAATCTGGATTGCAATACCCTGATATCTGAAAACTATATTTTGCCTTTTGGGAAGTGCAGCAAATACAAACCACGGTACAGTCCATACCTCCCCCTCATCTACTTTGTGCCACATCTGCCTTACAGAGTTTTATGAACTTTCAGCTTCCAATCACTACTTCCACTAACTCCTGCGACAGCCTCAGCTTGTGGTGGGGGCGGATGCTGTCGCGTTCTTCTTGCCGTTCACATCAGTCTGAGAGCTACTGCACCTTCCGTTCCCGGGAGTGATTTTCTCCTTAGTTTGAAAACAATGTGTGAAACCCTGCTCTGCAGAAACAGTAGCCTCAGTAAGTTTAAGGATGCCTGAAGCTATTTCCTCTCCCGGGGAGGTTTAAAAGCTAAGGAGGGATGAATGGGGTTAGACCTATCGCTGCATTTCTAGCAGCCATCCTATTACAGCACTGAATAAAAGCAGGAACGGCATGTCTAGCCTAGGTTAATAAACCCTACTGAGTGCATGCCTTAAAAGCACTACGAAACAGCCTTAAGTCAGCTTGAGATAACTAATTTCAAGCATGGCTGTCTAGTGTGCCTGTCATTCCTATTGTCCTTCCAAACTATTTCAGACATTTTGAGCAGGGAGTACTAAGCTATGAGTTAGCAGGGGTTGTGACATTAATGGTCCAAAAAGGTTTAAGCACCAGGAGGGAACAATGACATCGCTTAACAACTGGTGGCAGTTCGGAGGATTTCGCTGGATCTCTGTTTATTAATAATTAGGCTTCGCCTCGGAGGAAGATGTGACAACTATCGGAGGTAGGATTTGCATGGGAAACAAAGGGAGCTGTAGCTGTTCGGTGCCCATTGTTTGTGCTTTGCTCCGTGGCTTTCCGAGCGCAGCCAGGTGCCTTCGGCAGCGGTGGGGAGGGGGTGATGGGACAGGGGTGGCGGGGAGAGCCAAGGGTAGAAACACTGTTGATAGTCCTCTGGTTTATGGCAGAAATGCCTCGAGGACAAACTGGCTCAAATGTCGCTGCCTGCTGAGTGTGCATTCCACGTTGCTCTTCCCACGGAGTAAAATACATAGAAGTCATGCAGAAAACACTTCACTCCTTTTCTACTGAGCCAGCGGGGCTGTTTCTGAGATGGGAGAAGGGAGAGGGGAAGCTGCCCTAAAATAAAAGGGGAAGACGAAAGCTGTGGAGACTGTAAGAAGAGGGAGACATGCTATTAGCATGTAAAATGTGTCTGGAGTGCCACCAATGTCGTTTGAAAAGGGGAAAACAGAGACAGAGTGGGGGACGGGAGGGATTTTCCGGGTGAGGGATTCCTTAGGTTATAACCTCTTGCAAAAAAAGGCATGATGTGTCCATCCATTTTGCATAATCAAAGCTTCCTCTGCACTGTTGGCATTGTTTTGCTGGATGAAAACTGTAGTTTCATACAGAAAAAGGTACGATTTCCTCCCATGCCACCACCAACCCCCTGCCACCTTCCCTCCCTCTGAGAAACAACAGCGCGAGGAAGGATGGAAATGACATTTAGTTGAATGGTGTCAGGGTTGTGAGCGAGGGCTGAGTGGGGAAAGAACACTGAGTAGTATAACAGGAAAGCTTCTTGAAAAAGCTTGTTTCTTCCCAGCCAGAAGTCCAAGAGGTGATATGCAAAGTTAGAAGCCTCATGTACTTTTTTAAGATGTGCTTGTTCAGCATTAATAGACAAGAAAATGTCTGAACATCAAAGAATCGGGTCCACATGGCAAAACAGCGCAGTAATGTTTGCATGGGGTCCTGGTCCGGGCTGGGCTGCAAGTTTACATTTTTGTCATTGCGTATGACCCTCACCAAGATAAATAGTGGGAACTTAATGAATGAAAATCATATGTCCGTGCATATGCAGAATCCTTAGTAGTGTGTTTGATCTGAGTGTGATGTTCCCTGTGTTGATGAACTCTTTTGACTTGTACATTAAAGTTTCATTTCCAAACAACACAGAGACTTCAGAGTGAGTGGTATTTAGTAACAATAAAATGTTCTGCTTGTGGAAATGCTTCTCACAGGAGCTATTAAAAATGCACTTAAAGAAGCCAAGAGTCATATCTTGCAGTAAGAGGTATGGTATCACTTGCTGTGCTAGATTATAAAATTAAGGTTATGATGCCATTTTAAATCTACTTTAATATGGGTGTCGTTAAGCATACTTTATAACACTGTTGTCAGAAGCTCACAACTTGGAGAATTCTGTTAGACTGATTGTTTTCATTAAATCTTCATTAGAAAAAGAATTCCTATATAGCAGGGACTTACCAAGTAATTTGAATTTACTCACCCTAATGAATGTTCCTTTTAAGGAGAGTTTCACTGTATTATACTACATTGTAAATAGGTCATCATATAATTAATTTAATAACAAAACACCAATAAGAATTTAACAATGAAAGTGCTAAATGCATTTAGTCAAAGTAAACACGGATTGTGCCAAGGAGAAGCAATATTGGATCAGGAATGGTAAGAATTCCTTTTAGGAAACATAACATAAATAAACTCCATTTGATCCAAGCAACCACTTATCAGTCAACTGCATTACTTTGCATTGCAGATTGGGGAAAAAATAGTTTTGACCTGTGTCACTACTCAGTACGTAATGATAACAGTGAAAACTTTCTTCCAAATAAATTGTTTCTAGTGGTTTGCAGTATGGATCAAAGAGATACTGTGCAGAGATGGTATATCTGTGTCAGAAATTAGTGATCCATGTGGAAATCAAGTACCTGGGTATTTTTCTCCATCTCAGCTTTGTCCAGAGGCCTAGACAATTTTACTTTGTTTTACTTTAGTGCCTTTCTGAGGGAAGGGGCTGAAGGAGTAAAACCACAAGGTGGGAAACTGTGTCCAACCTGAGCCTGGCCACAGACTTCTCGGGGACTTGGACAAGTCCCTCAGCCTCTTTGCAAAATGGGCAGGGTAAGAGCCCTGCCTTGCAAATAAGGGTGAGGATAGTGTACTAACAGTGATGCAGTGGAAATACAGGCAGTGGTACTCAGAGAATGAGGCTGAACATAGAGCTCCAGATAAGGCAAAATGCAAAGCATTTTTTTTTAGCAGGAGCAGGTTAATGTTTGAAACATTTTCAACTGTAAAATAAGACCTATAGTAAATCCCATGATCCAAAACTAAATCTGCTTTCAAAACTATTCCAGACAAATTTGCCACTGACAAAAACTTCTGCCAGCAGCAAATACCCATTCATCCGAGAGCCTGTCAGAAGTGACTCCAAATCTCTCAGCATTCCCTTTCTTCCATCAATGTAGAGCAAATAATGAAGCAAATTGCATCAGATTGATTCACCGTGCTTAAAAACAATTTCCCTGTTTTCTTCAGAAGCTCAATAAGTACTTTTTGCCATGAATCCCACTTGCCCTCTGCTTATGAATTGTCTGTGGAACTCATGAAATTTTCTAATTTATTTATTTGATATTATTTGGGAATTTCTTCAGTGGATAACTCTTGACTTACAGTTCTTTTGGGAATGGCAAATGTTTGCAAATTCATACTGTGTTGCTTAGTTCAGTCATGTGGTGTTCCTTGATTAGATGATTTGTATAGCTAACTCACAGAAAGTGAATTGCAAATTTCACAACCAAGTGTACAGTTTCATACTGGATTTCCATCACTATCTGAGCAGTCAGGTTTAAAATTCATGCCTTGCAAGTAGCCATACAAGCAACACATAAGCACTGAAGTGCTCCCACCAGACAGATGTGAGAGCCGGGTTAAACAGCTTTCAGTTTCATATGAATATTCATTAAAAGTGTTTGAATTCTTGCATCTTTTAAAATGAATAGTCAGCATCATCCATCACATGCTGCACAGGCCATTCTCTCACAGTGCTTGCCATGTTCCCATATTCTCTCCAACTCTCCCATATAAGACCAAAATGCCTGTGGAAACTGTGCAGCCAAAATAAAAGGAAAAAAACACCATCATGGAAATTTCTAAATTTTCCACATTGTAGCCTCTCCTGTTGTGCCTGTCCTGCACATTGTGTGACACGAAGACAGCCAACAGTGAGAAGAGAAAGAGACCATCAAGAGTGATGCGGTGAGCACGGGAGAGAAAATATTGAAAGGGGAGAAATAAGGGTGACCACTGGCAGCGGGGGGATCAGCCGCACACTGAGTCTGTACATATGAGGTAGGGATTGACACAGCATACAATTTTTAACAATGTACAATTTTTAATAATGAACCTAGTGAATTTGAATTATTCACCTCAAGGTTTATGGTCTTACCAGACCCAGACCATGGCAAGCCCTGGAGCTGTCGCTCCCAGTCCTTCCCCATGCAGGCGCTACGTGGGTGCTTGCCACGGGTGCAGTCAAGCAAGGGAGTGACGTGGTTTAGCTTTTGTCATGCAGGGGTCTGATGACATGCTATGCAGGTATGGAAGAATTGTGAAAGTAACAGGCAAGAATAAAACTAACTAACATCTGGTGCATGGTTTAAAAGCAGTGAAAATCATTAGGAGAAGAATTTCTGTTAACTGTTTTATCTCAGAGATGAAAAAAATAAAAATCAGCTGCCAAAACACCAATCTCTTTTGACTCAGAAACAAATGAGGAGGAAAAGATTAAAAAGCAGGAATATATTTGTCTTTTGAATTATTTTTGGACTGTACTTATGTCAAACAGGAAGAAACCTCAGGTCTCCTACCAAGGGAGCTGTATTGTCCAACTATGTATCACTTTATATAGAATAAGTCAGGTGTGCGCTGAATCAACAAGGTTGCTGTGACTGCACAGAGCCAACCAGCAGTGTTATGCCCCCATTAGATGGCCTTCTTTGCCTTTTCAATGATTTTAAAGTCCAATGATCATAGATATCCTTACTCTAAAAGTAGAAACATGCCTAAATTGGACACAGCAACCATTGTGTGCGAGCCACACAGCAAGTCACTATAGGCAATACATGGGCGTTCATATTCTGTCAGGGCACATGTAACACCAGATTAATACTGCTTGGGGAGAGTAAAAGAATTAGAAGAATTAGAGGAACTAAAATCAAAGCAAACACAGAGGAACTTTGCTAGGACAAAAATGAACTCAGTGCAGTCTGGAATGAAATCCCAACTTGAAACTCCATCTGGATACCACTAAAACTTCTATTAAGTCTTCCAATACTTTTTCTTTCTTAATATAAAGCTGTCCTATTGCCCATAATTAAACCCCATCTCCGCTTGTGCCAAGTGGGATAATTTCGTATGGACTGCTTCTAAAGTAGTAGTTAATTTTTAAAGGGAAAACACAGAAAAAGTCAAGTCCCAGCTCTCTCTGCCCACATTGCTGGTTGCCCCTCTGGTCCATGATTTGGTGCCTCTGACATTTGGTTGAGAGCAGAGAGCTCTCACTGCTAAGCCCTGCAGGGGCACACAGCAACATCTTGGAGCTGTATCATCTTCTAAGATCCTTGAAAGGTTGGAGGCAGCAACACAGTCACAAGTACACCTGGGAAAACCCACTGTTTATTTAATCATCTACTTCTATAACTCCACAGGAGTGACCTGGCATCTCTGAGGTCCTCAACAGTCTTTCAAAACTACTCTAGCAAATTCACAAGCTCTTTAGGTAACCTTTGCATCACATAACTGGACAAAACCTCAAAGCCTGCACCAGCTTATCTTGCCTGCTGATCTTCACCACAACTCCTCATCACTGTGAACTGGTAGATCCAAAAGCAAGGGAGAATGTCCTTCAGAGGAAAGGAGAAAAATGTCAAACGAGCTGTACATATTAAGTGTCTCCAAAACACAAAGGGGCTT